ATTCATACAGGATCTTCTCAAAAGAATACTAACAATTTAAATTACTATAATTATATTAATTATTACCTGAAAAGTGTGTATTGTACATCAATTGATAGAGTAACTGCAAGTTTCATCTCCCATCTACATTTAAATGATTTTTTGTCTACTGCTCTCTACTGTAAGTGCTGTACAACAAAAATGAAAAATGGCAACATGCAATGGAAAAAGCATTTTCTGTTCTGCAGTTTGCAAAGTTGGAGTCAGTCGCCACTGTACAACATGACGATTGATTCTGCTGATAATTTCAAAGTGATCCGTCACAAAAGGCAAACATTCTTATTGCACAATGATGACCTATTTCAAGTTTACAGACTGCAAAATACAAAATGCCTTCTCTGTTGCAGAGTCACCATTTTTGTTTATGACACTTTCTTCAGACAGTAGACAAAAAGACATTTGAATGAAGATGGGAGATGAAACTTGCAGTTATTCTATCAATTGATGCACAATACATACTTCTCAGGTAACAATTAACATAATTGCTACCTTTTTAAACTACTGTACAGTCGACCCCCCCCATAACACTGTTGATTATTCAGTTTTATATGAATTCCATGTTGTACGAGTCACTTAGATTTTATAAATACATGAGCCGTTCACAGCACAGCACATGTATTTGTAAAATCTAAGTGACTCGTACAACATGGAATTCATATAAAATGGAATAATCAACAGTGTTATAGGGGGGTCGACTGTATTCTATCTGGAAGAGCCTGTATTTAAAGAAGATAATAAAAAAACACTGATGACCAAATTTTAAGACATCACAGAGTGAACTAACACCAAGCATCACACATGTCTCTGCAAGTAAATTAGAAAAACTTTACAAGTTATTTATTGAAACTTAACAGAATGGTTGATTATGAAACAATCTAAGATAGTCTTAGCACATCCATCAATAATTAATGCCTAGTTATTTGCTTATAAAAGAGTTTATTACATGATGATTGATTACTTACATTTAAATGCTTCCATATAATCAATTTTGTTGAAGAGCGTGTTATTGAAAATAAGATTAAGAAGTGACAAATGGATTTCTATAATTTTCTTATCAACTCCTGAATATTGAATCTAAATCAAAATGATTTATGAAAAATCACTTTTGCAACTAAGTTTTGATTTGGAAGTAGACTTAGAATTAGATGTACAAAAGTATTAATTGAGCTGCAATTTTCAAATTCCTGTTTTTGTCTGACTGTCTATCCTTCTTTAATCTCCAGAACGGTCAAGATAGATTAAAATCGAGATCAGATATTGAAAGCTTAAGGCCCAGATTAACTATATATGAACTTCTGATTTGGACTGAAAGTCATGTGATTTCAATTCAAAATTTTCTGGAGTATGGAGTTAGATGACTGCATGACTCAATTGTTATCAGGAAAGGTATGATGTACAGGAGTAAGACACCACTAAAATTGACACCAGATTTGGAAAGCTTTGGGACTGGGGCCCAGATTAACTATATATGTACTTCTGATCTGGACCAAAAGTCACATTTTTCTTTAAATCAAAAAATTAATAATTGTGGCCTGACTGTAATTTTATCAGTAACAAGCAATTATTTATCGTGACATCATCACAATAAATAAATGCTTGTTACTGTTAAAGTTACAAAGACTGTGGCCGATGTCATTTAGCAATGATTTTGTTTAGTTAAAATGACCTGATTAGCTTATATGATTCCAATAAATTGGAAATAATATAGAACTTATTCGTATTGAATTATTGATAAACGATATGTGCGTAAGTTTACCAGTTATTAATATTTTTATGCCTTCCATCTATAATCTTATTGTTTATCACCTTGTCAGTAACAATAGAGAACTGTCATCTTAATCTGTGACTGCAACATAGACACGCTTTTACTTTTCTGATTATTAGGTATATAACAATCAGAAAATATAATTGTATCCAATTTCACCTTCTGGATATTTTGCAAATCTCAACATTTTGAAATTTGGCATGGTAAATATATGTAAGGATGATTGATATTATTAAATTTTGGTGATTAATGGTTAGAGTAGAGAGATAAGGTTGTGGTCATGTCCTACCTTGAGTGGGGCCAGACCTAATAAAAAGTATACTCATTGTCATTTACAATTTTTAAAAAACTCATCTCTACCCTCAAAACTAAGCCTTTTGCCTTTTTATAATAATTAAAAATATAAAAAGTTTTTAAATAGAATATTATAACAGATGGTGTGAAATAAAATTTTAAGTGTTTTAGCCAGGAAAGTTATGCAACTCATTGCTGGATTTTTTAACATGGTATATAGCTGCTTCTCATATATGTCTCTCTTCTTTATGATTCNAACTAAGCCTTTTGCCTTTTTATAATAATTAAAAATATAAAAATTAATTTTAATAAAACTTCTTAACATGTAGAGTCACACACAATTTTAACTTTGTGCTAATGTGTCTTAATGCTGCTTATATTTTTCACTGAGAAAGTTATACAACTTACTGAAGAAGTTTTAATTAGTAAGCCAGCCATTATAATGAAATGTTAATGTTCTGACATATATTGTGTGTTCTATAAAGTTGAAGCTACTCTTCTTAGCCTGCAACTATACTTAAAGCTGTGAAGTATGTATCTATTGCTAAATACAGTTGAACTTATCTATCTCAAAATTTATTTTTCACTTGGCATTTTCAGTCTAAATTCAATATACGTAAGCTGTTTTTTTATTCAACCTCCGATTGTCCATAAAAAACAGACAAGTGTAAATAACAAAATGAATTTATTACCAAAAGTTAGGTACAAACATGGTTATACTTTTTGACATAATCACTGTAAAGATTGAGGCATTTGTCATATCTGTGGATGAGCTTTTCCATCCCCTCTTTATAGAATGTTGTCGCCAATGACTTGAGTTGGACCCTAATGTTGTTTTGAATATTGTCATTATCCTCAAACCTCTGCCCTCTTAGCCACTTTTTCTGTTCAGGAAAGAGGTGGAAGTTGCTTGGCACTAAATCGGAACAATACGCTGGGTGTTTAAAGGTGGTGAAGACTTCCACCCAGATTGGAACTTTTTAATGTGTGATGACTTCCACTACTTTCCTGAACTGAAAACGTGACTAGGAGGGCAGAGGTTTGAAAATAATGACGATCTTCAAAACAATGTTGTTAAGACCATCTCAATTCCCTGGCAGCAACATTCTATGAAGGGATGAGAAAGCTTGTCCACAGATATGACAAATGCCTCAATCTTTACAGTGATTATGTCAAAAAGTATAACCATGTTTGTACTTAACTTATAGTAATAAAATCATTTTGTTATTTACACTTGTCTTTATCGACCATCGGAGGTTGAAAAAAAACACCCTCGTATCTTCCACGTTTATCTCAAATTATAGACTGAAGTATCAATTCAAAGCTCAGTGACTACATTTTGATAGCATGAATTGTAACTGAGAAACGTTTCACGATACAGTACAAAATTGCAACTAACACTGCTTATCTGATTGGCTTGCAACTTATTGGGAGAAAGTCAGGCATCAAGGTTTTATTTATACCTAATACAGATAAATACTGTACTTTGTATTGTATTAATACAGTACCATACTTCCAATTAAACTTAGAGGTTTCTACACAGTAAGACAGGTTTCAAGATATTACTGTTATCTCAAATTTTTTTTCTCTTGTTCCCATGAGATGAGATACAGATTCAACTGTATATTGAAAAATATATATTAATCATGTATCAATTTTTACTTTTATTATTTGATACTTTACAAATTTATTTTTAATCTGGAGAATTTATACTATAGATTTTTCATCATCAGCGTAATTGGGCAAATTATTAACCTCTACTTACAATTGTAGAAAATACAAAGTTAGACAAATCTCATGCTTATGAAAAACAGGCTTATCTTATATTTTATAATGATTTATGTTTATTGCATTGCTAAGAACTTTCTTCTTTGTCTGATGGTTCAAAATTTGTTTCTCATTTTAAATAAAGTTACACTTAATCTTTACATAATTATTATATATAACAGGGCCCATAAAGTCAAACAACATAGAGTTGTTTACTTCCACCTGTAGAGATCTTGAAATAATTATTTAAGAATATACTGCAATATGGTGTATTGTATGTCTGCTAAGCAGTGCAATAGCAGCTATTATTTACATACTAGCTTGCATTACATCCCTTTTTTTATCACAATACTGGCCATCTCATCACATCTTGTATAATGATCTGTATTTAACATTTAATTTTTTGGCTGTAACAATCAGAATTATTCTCCTATATTACTGTATTATATCAAAAGTCAATGACATTCATTTAATAATAAATACTTTTAATTGTTACTACTAATAATGCATGCAGGAGCATAAAAAATAACTATTTGATCAAATAAGCAGCCAATCTTGCCATTTAACATTTAAAATGTATGTATGCAATTATATAAAATAATGTGAGAATCTTTGCTTGTTACTGTCGCAATGAAGTTATTTTTAATTTTACAAGAAAATTTCACTTCCTAAATCTACTATACACATTTAAGAATGAATAAATTAAGTATATAAAGAAAACAAAATAAATATAATTTATATAAAAGTTTTATTTATATATGAATTACTGAAAATTTAAATAAGAAATGACAATGAATTTTTTTCAATATTTTTTCTTTTTTTACTTTTCAATTGACATCACAATACATATCCGACAAGACATCGAAATTACTATCGTCTAATCTTATAAAGCTAACGAGGTACAGCAGTTTTTACATTATATCCTGACATTAAAATAAAACTATTTCACCACAAAATCAGGGTATATCACAGAATATGGACAGAGTTCACTCCCCTGAACGAGTGCAATTTATTTATTATTATTTTTTTTTGTTTCCCCACATATTAATAAACAGCAGATTTGTAAAAAAAAAGTCTTAAATTGTTTTTTAGTCTTATTTTCCTACATATGACATCTGTATTTAACATTTAAAAATGATATGACTGTCATTACAAAATTATATTGCATTATGAAAAGGATAAGTTATTCCAAAGTACCTGCAACATTCCTCATTTTACACCTGGATGGGTTCTTTTTTTTTTATTTTGCATGTCTTTAACAGCTACAGATATGTAGCGATAACTGCAATGAGTGAAATGATTGTAATTACGCTACAAGAATTAGTCAACTGTCTTTAGAAGACAGAAAATTTGGCATAGAGGAATCTGAGATTCTTCTAAAGATTACAATTGAAATCATTTTTTTTATTTTTGTTTTCCCCCAATTATCGGAGAGAATTTTATAAAAATAACTGGATACTATTCTTAACTCTAGTAAAGTTATACTGTATTTCTAAACCTAGTTATGTGCATCAAATAAATAATTACAATCTATTTAAAAACCTTTTTAACAGGGCTCAAACAGTGGATCATGAGCACCTAACTGTTTGTATGAGGTCATTTGATTGGTCGTCTATTTACTAACACATTGAAACATCTTACGAGCTAATTAATCATCATTCGTAGTCAACAGTTTATAGTATAAACATATATATGCATATACATATATACTGTTTACTGTCGATACAAGTTTCTTAAAAATGAGCAAGTCAATGACTTCTATTCCTCAATAGAGGATTTAGATACAACTCAAATGAGGTATAATTTAGTTCTGTAAAAAAGTTGCACAGATAAAAAAAATTCATCTCTTCATCTACTTTTGCGAAAGAAATATTTAATTATTAATACTATTGTATTAAATATGTTCACTTACAAGCTGTCTTCTTGAAACACATTTGAATTATATACTTAAAGTAGATTCATATTCGCCAGCATAAGAAAATCTATACAGATTTTTAATTTTGTGCACGGCTGTATCTAAGAAATTTCTTCATGCGACGCATGTTAAATCTTTATACTGTACAAAAATCAATTAAATTATGCTTTCATTTTACGAAGTCTGTGTCGAGTCCTCGTGCAGTGTGGACTGGATATTGCCCTTGCTGCAATTCGACAGCTAGAAAAATTATCACTTGTCCAACTTTGGTTACGGTTGTGTGCACACAGGTGTTTAAGTGGAGGTGCCGACGAATTAGAACCATAGTTGTCTACTGAAAATTTTCGTTTTACACCCACTATAACCTCTGATTTATCGTCTTCAGATTTCCGTCTGTCTTCTTCATCGTCATCTCCTTCTCCTTCCTGTTCATCATCTGATTGAGTACTCTGTTTGATACCATCCATATCTGTAGAGTTTATCTCAGATGAACAGTGTTTTTCACCACTAAATTTGTTCTCCCTATCTGATGATAATCGTCTTTGCTCCTTACCAGAAATCTCACTAGACTGCAGAGAGTTCCTTAAACATACATCTTTAATGCTTAATTTTGCTTCTGTCTTCTTTTCTAACCAGGCATTAGCAACTGAATCGACGTAATTTTGATTAGACACTGGTTTTAATCTTGAGCACTCAATGTCAGAATTATTAGACAATGCATTATCTAAAGAATCAAATTCTTCTAGTTTATGTGAACTTTGTTCCTTACATGTTTCTTGTCTACATATAGGTGAGGAACACGAATTACATTCTGAATGTTTATCTGCCATTACACGTTTTGTAACAACACTCTTTGGCGATAGAACAACTGGTTTCGGTAGGTAAGTATTACGACTTTCCGAAAAATCAAGTTTTTTCTTATGGAGCCAATCCTCTTGTTGTTCTGGTTCGGTTTTTCTAATAGATTTAGCATAACAACTATCTCCTTCTACTTGACCTATAAAATATTTTGAAAAATAAATATTGTAATAGTTACTTTTTTCAATTATTTTAATTTTAAATATTTATTTTATATACAATAGTGCATTTGATAAAAATAATTTTAGCAAGTTACAAATACAGTTTAATTAAAGATAATAGGGAGAGAGGGTACCACACATGTTGTAGAGACAAATATTGTAATAGTTACTTTTTTTATGAGATAATAGTGAGTTAGTGAGATGATAATATAATTTATATATAGAATGTAGAGACAAACATTGCAACAAACTATATCTTAGCTTGTTGCAATGTTTGTCTCTACATTCTATATATAAATTATATTATCATCTCACTCTTGCATGTATACAACATAAATTTCAAAGTTTTCTGCTATTTTGATTTAATTTACATTAAAAAATTTTATTGATAACACGAATTACTTATATAAAAAGCACAATTAAAATTAAAAACAAAGCAAATTATTTTATAATTAACTTGCCTCCGGATGGATCAATTTCATCTCTTGGACGTAATTTCTGCATTACCCTTTGCCTGAGTAAAACTTCACTTTTAGGAGGTCCTGGCGGATCTAACAATACTGTAACAACGCTAGTATTATCAGCTCTCATTTTTAAGTTATACCAACGATTCAGAGCTCGATCAACCAAGAGTTTAGATGGATTATTAGCCTGCTTGTTCTAAATGGAAAAATTTTTACATATCAAATTAATAAATGTATTTATAATAATACTTTTAAGCGGAGCTTAATACGTTTTGCAAAAAATTGAATTTAAATGAGGGGTTCGGTGGAAAAGTGGTACAAGTGACAATAGAATAACAAGAATATATATAATAGTGGTAAAATTTAACATAGGTTAAATAATCATATTTTATTAAATTACATAAATACAGATATATTTGCTTGCATATTTACCTGCTATTATCCTTTTATTTTTAAATGAATACTTTTTTGTTTTTTAAATATTTGGTCACTTATAGCATGTTTCCACTCTCCTCTTCAAATTTAATATAGAAAATTTCATTAGAAACTGAACTTTTTGTAACAAACACACTTAGTAATTAACTTTACATAAATAATAATAAAGCACGTTATATTCATATAATATCTTGTGGTAAAACGGATGAAGAATTAATAACTAAGTACTTACTATAGATGATTTATGTGCCGATTCAAGAATGTAACGTTCGTTTTCCTGTTCGGCATCTTGTACTAAGCGAACGGCATCCCATAGAGTCACCATATTCCACAATCCGTCGGATGCGAGAATAACACATCTGTCTCTTTTAGGATCAAGAGTAACAACACATACGTCAGGTTCTGGACTCACTACAAATTCTCCTTGTTGATAGTTGTAACTCCATAGATCGCCTGAATTAAAATATAAATATATTCTTAATGATTTATTGTAGAAAAACATGAAAGATCAGAGAACTATATTGCTAAATGATCTTGAAGTTTATAAAACTTAATGAGAAGTAACTTGCTAATTTATTTAACATTTAAAAATTTTACATGCTACTAGTAAAAAATGTAATAAGTTTGTACCTAACGATCTTGCCACCGCTAAAAATGGTATTTTGTCAAAATGCGTACTTCTGCGGATTGGTCCTTTATGACCGAGCCTAGGTCTGTTCCAAACCACTCTCTCTACTCCAGCTTTATTCATTACTAGCCCTCCTACGCTATAAATACGTTCCTTTTCGGCAGGAGATTCTGGTTTATGGTCTTTAGTAAGTGGCTGAGGTAACCACATATCTGAATCTACAGATTAAAATATATTAATTTTTATAAAATCTAATATGTTGATTATTTTTAGACTTAACTCTGGTAAAATAATTAAATTCTATACTTTTACCTCAACTGATGTTTTAGCTAAATAAAATCTCAAAGTAAATGACAAATTATTTTATAATAATAAAAATGCTTTTCATATTTTATAACAATAATTTGGGTTACTCCATTTAATTATGTTATCAATAACTTAGAATGCTAAACACAATTTCTGTAAGAAAACTTATTTGATTGAGAAATTTGTAATTGCCAGATTTAAATTTGTAAAATTAAATTGTTGATTTTTTTAATATTTAATTTATATTAATATTTGTGTTAGGTTGATTTTAACTTAAACACTATAACACTATATTAACACTTACATGATGATAAAAATATTGATATGTACAGCAAACCTCAATATAGCATTATTACTTGTTAATCTCTAAAATTGGCAGTAAATCAAGTGTGATATTAAACCGAAGTACTTCAAAGTATTGAAGTCTGTAACGTTCAAATTTGCAAAATTGTAATTTACTAATTAAGGTACCAAAGGATTTCCTATTTAATATTTATAAGGAAGATTCATTCATAAGTATGCATTGTCACTCTATGAAGGTAGTGTTATATTGATGTTTGACTATATATAGCATTGCATGCACTTAACTAATTTACAAAAAATTTACTGGAGAGAACAAGGGACAGCTATAATATCCATGAAAGAAACATGGAGAAAGCATTATGGATAGCATCTCATTTAGTGGATGCATAGATCTCTGTGCTTCCAAGAGGATTTCAGCTACCAGAAAATATTAGGATGAAATCCTGGACTTCCATTATTTGCCCCCTGTGCAAGTACAATAGACAGTACATCTATATTATAAAAGAAAAAACTCAGTCCACTGAACTAGGCTGGTAAGCCAATTATCAGAAGAGAATTTTATGCATGAATTAGTTAGTGAGGTCTCTAGATCTTAACACCATAGAACAAGTGGTGGATGCTCTCAGATGATGCTGCTGCCTTAACATCTGCAGAGACTTGGAAGAACAATGCATCTAGTAGCTCATTAGAGTAGCAAAGACCAATTATCAACAGTATGGTAATGTCATTGTGAAGCTTGCATTACTGCAAGAGGTGGTCACATTCCATATTAATGTAGGTGGATATTTCATTTTCATATATTACTTTTGATCTGATCTTTACATGTTATTTTTTGTAAGAAATAAATATGATGCATGCATGTAATGTATTTTCATGTATGCATTAAAAATATTAAATTTATTTCTAATATTTTGGTTTCCTTAAAAATATCTAAAAAGAAATTGTTGCTATATGCAAATTGTGTAATTTAAATCTGAAATCAAACAAGAAAAGTATAAAATCAACATATTTGATATCAAGTTTGTCATCTATATATACTATATATATATATATATAAAATTACTTGTCCTGACTGACTGAGTCAATGATTCATTATTGACCAGAGCAAACTGCTAAACCTAAAGAGGTGAAATTTGGTACACAGTTAGGGTACGTCATAAAAACGCACACTAAGAAGGGATTTTTTGAAATTCCCCCATGGGAAAGGGAGAGGATTAAGGCTTAACTGGAAGAACGGCTTCTACTGTACTATTTTAGATGAGATTTTTTTTGTTTTTAACTGCGTTTTAGTAGGGTATGCCATGGGAATGCACACTAAGAAGGGATTTTTCGAAATTCCCCCGCGGGGGGAGAGGGAGAGGATTAAGGCTTAACCGGAAGAACGGCTTCTACTGTACTATTTTAGATGAGATTTTTTTGTTTTTAACTGCGTTTAGTCTTCATTGAGTACTTAGGTGTATTAAATTGATAACATTTCAGACATTGTTATAAATATTTTTATATATTTCAATTTTTTAACCAAATGTTTGTACTGTTTTAAATTCAAATTTGTTATTGCATATTGGTTTGATTATGGAACGATTGTAAATGTTCCAGAAAATTGATCAAATTGAAATCAGTTCATTTGATTCTCAGCAATTCTCATCATTCTCAGTGGTAGGTGTTGTATAACAATTACTATGGTTGTTGAAATACTGAATATAAATGGGGTTTGCTTGCAAAATCCTCGCAGGCAAAGCCGCGGGTAACAGCTAGTAATCATATATTTCTGAGATACAGTTTTTAAATCTATTTGACATTTATACAATTTTGTGGCACCTTTCTTACATAAAAGTATAATAAATTTTAGACAATTCCATTTCAGAATAAAATCTGTTCCTTACAACAGAGAATTTTGAGATTTCTTACTGATGACTTTAACATACTTATGATTGTCTAGAATGTAGATGTATCCAGATGTTAAAACTGTATGAAGAAGCAAAGACTTAAGTAAAGTAAAAATAGTAAAACCTGAGAATTTTAATTAGCTAATAATCTTTCTAAAAAACTTATAACCAGTGTGAAATATGTTCAATTGCTTACGCTAATATTTTCGAATCCCACTGGGTCCTTCATCAGGCCTGATGAACATATTTCACGCCGGTTATAGGTTTTTTAGAAAGATTATTAGTATTGTTCCAGTGTGCGTCGATTAATTATTTATTTTAATTAGCTATTTTTCAAACAGCTTTTATGTGATCAATACTTTTAATTGTTAGTAGTTGCTATAATCACCTTTGCCATAGTTGCAGACGTGATACATTCAGTATATTTATGCTGACTTTTGACAATTTTGTTGACAGTTTTAAATCAGATTTGTCTTTATAAATATATAAATTACAGTTAAAATTAATTTTAGCTCTGTTTTAGTTTCTTAATTTAAATAGATATCTATTGAAGGTATGGAGTAAAGCAAAGCACTGATGGATTATGAAAAAAGACAATTTGGCAGCTTAAAAGCTGTTTGATAGAACAGATATCTTCCTATTTTCAATGCAATCCATGTTGATTTTGTCAACAGATCTTTCTATTTTCAAAAATACAAAATTATGGGAAGAAAAATCGGTACTGGATACCTCACTTCTGTCATTAAGTGATAAGTTTTTTGAATAATAATTCATTTGACAACCAAGATCAGAGTATGAACTGCTATACATGTCCCTAGTTCTTAATGAACCATTTATTGAGTTGTTATACAGTAGTCACCACTGAACTTAGACCAGGCTGCAATTAACATGCCATCCAATAGATAGGTTTCAAAAAAGTAGCTTTGATTCATTGCATGAATATTACATAATTTAAAACAAATATAAAGTAATTAATCTTTATTTTTGCTAAATATCAACTTGATATCTTGCAAGTTTAACAAAATTGAGCCAGTCAAAGTTGAGTCACAGGATCAGAAAACAGACTGCTGCATCACTGCCATCAATGAACATAGACCACTGCATATTTAATATTTTGTTACATCACCTTTTGCGGCCAAAATGCCTTCTATACATTTTGGCATGCTGTTGACTAGGTGTTCAAATTCGTCTGCCATTATAGAATTCCAGATAAGATGGAATCTTTTAATCCTTCAACTGTTCAAGGGCGTGTTTTTTGCAGGCGTCTCTTCATAATGTTCCATACATTCTCAATTGGTGAAATATTTGAGCTGTTGGATGGCTAAGGAAGAACTTCTGTGTTCTTTTCTGTAAGCCACTATATTATTTTTGTGCTTGTATGACATGTGGCCCCATCCTGCTGGAAAATGCAGATTCTATTTGGATATAGCTTTGCTATGGACAGAAGTAAACAATATTGTAGAATGTTAATGTATTGTTCTGAAGCAAGTGTTCCATTAACAAATGTCAACTGACCAATATCACTGGTGTTCATACACTCCGAAACCATGGCGCTGGCAGGAAACTTCACTGAGTGGTTTAACAATGATGGATCATTAGCTTTCAATGGAAGACGGATAAGGAAGAGAAGTTGTGAGTCGGTTTTTGCTTGGAAATTATTGCGTGGGAGTGCTTTTGAAGTGAAGAGTGAGCGAAGAGCGAGTGGAGTATAGAACAGTCTGGAAGTATCCCAGGGTTGTGGGTCAACGGAACAGGTAGGAGGTATTGTAGCATATTCTACAACAGTGGAGGTAGTCGAACTACCGGGGGAGGCATTGGACCTGGCGGAGTCGGGGCACTGCCAGGAGACGGTTAACTTCCGGGTTTATTCCAGGTTAACCGAGCTGGATAAATTCCGGAAAATAAGGGCTGAGTTACCATAGGACCACGTATACACGGTGTTCTTGGAAGGGGTTTCTCCTCTTAGGCGGCTTCGGCCGGCGGAAGTGTACCAGCCACTGAAACCGCACTTTCCAAGACCGGAGTCCCTGACAGATATTCGGTATGCGAGGAGCGGGTTCTTGATTATGAAGTCAAGGGACAGGGAGGCAATAGAGGGTGCGCTACAAATTAAGGACTTGGCAGGGTCCCCCATTCGGGGGCGTTTGGCGCTGTATAGTGCCCAGACAGACTACCTAATTCGCGGGGTAGATACTTCCATACTGGTCGAGAAAATTCTGGAGGCCTTGTGGGAGGCCGGGCATCCGGTTATTGAGGTCCGCAGGTTCACGCGAAAGGATGGCGAAGTCCACCAGCCAAGCCAGACGGTTTTCTTCTTGGTAGCGAGTGCGGTACCGATTACATCGATAAAACTGTACTACCAACATTTCCCATGTGAAAGATACATCCTGCGGCCGAGGCAATATGACCGCTGCTTATCTTTTGGCACTCGGCGAAGTTTTGTCGGGAGAGACGTCGGTGTCCGCGGTGTGGGGAGGACCATGACCCAGCTACTTGTACACAAACGGGATAGGTGTATCCATTGTAACGGGGACCACAGCATTAAGTCGACAAAGTGTCCACTATATAGGTAGGAAGCACAAATGTTGAAACTGTGTGTGCAGAATTGGTGTTTGTATGCAGAGGTCAAACAGACCCAAGGGGGCTCCCCCAAACTTATGCTCAAAAGGTGGCAGCCGACATGTCCCAGGTACACAGGGCAGGTCAACAAGGATCAAAGAGAAGCAGACGGAAGCAGGAAGGAGGGCGAGAAGATGGTGGAGCTACAGCGAGCGAAGAACAGCAGGCGATTATACAGAAGCTAGCAGTCTTTGAAGTGGCGGTGGAGGCCCTGCATTAGGAATTAAGGGCGATAAGTCAGAGGTTGGGGACAGAATAATGGGCACAGAAAACAACGTTGGGGGGAAGGACAAGGGACAGGGTTAGTGTGGGGTTGGAGGGAACAATAGGTCCAGGAAAAAGCACCCTCCTTGGAAAGTGGTTGAAGGAGAAGACCAGCAACTTAGCAAGAAGAAGAAAGGGCTTACGCACCAGCAGAGAAGGGTTCCTGCGTACTCTGACACTGAAGAAGTTCAATCAGGGGAAGAGGCAGGGAATGGTAAGGGGACAACGCATGCGCAATCGATGGAGGACATCTCTCCGACGACACCAGCGGAACTGGTAAAATTACACAGGTGCCAATCGATAGGAAAACCCAACAATGGATAATCGGGCTCAGGGGCAGAATATGGTTTGGATAGTTCAATGGAACGCGAGGGGGGTAAGGGCAAAAAGGGAATTGATTCTCACGGCGGAATGGTTCAACACAGTGGACATTATCATGCTTCAAGAAGCGTGGCTGGGGCCAAGGGTTGGATTTGGGTTACCAGGGTTTACGGTATTTTGTTCGGACCATCCGGTAGGACAGGGGGGTCTTCTCACCGTGGTAGCGAAATAGTGGCCGGCCAGACATATACGGCATGGGGTGGCGGACGGCGGGCTGGAGTACCAGGAAACTTTGGTTTTTGTGGCAGATAGGCCTTTGTCGGTTGTGAACCTGTATGCCCCGCATGGACAGCTAACGGAGGAGGCTCTCGAAGAAGCTATCCAGGGAGATCATCAGCCACGACTGATAGGGGGAGATTGGAATGCCCATCATCCTCACTGGGACGAGGGGTGCAGGAGGCCAGACATTGCAGGACAGATTCTTTTTGATTGGATGTCGACGGCGGAGATCGGGTGTTTAAATACGGGGGAGCCCATTCATTTCAGCACTGGCGGAGGCACAGCCATCGACATCACGATGAGCTCGACAGACCTGTTAGGAGACATAATGTGGGAGCTTAGTGGGGATGAACTTACTAGCAACCATCACCCGATCGTTTTGTCTGTAAAAATGAAAGGGGGCCCTCAGAAAGGAATGGGATCCCAGATCCTGAAAAGAACAGATTGGGGAAGTACACCGAGTGTATGAGGCAGAGCAGTAAGCTCGGTCCTAGCACCTACCAGGGAATGATAGGAAGGATACGGCGGGCAGTTTTGGACACGATGGAGGTTTCCCGGTACTTGCCACAGGGCCTTCCGCTGTGGTGGACTATAGAGTGTCGGAGAACGAGAGCGAAGAAAAGGAGGGCGTTTCGACTTGTCAGGAAAATGGTGTAACAGAGCTGGTGGGTCCAGTATAAGAGACTCAGTGCGGAGCTATGAAGGATCGTACGGCAGTCGTGTCGAGAGTGGTGGTACAGGACATGTGGTCGGCCACTTGACAAATCATCCATTTATCAGATTTTCAGACCCCTCAGGAAGATGCAGACGATTATCATGTTCTTACTAACCCAGAAGTGTTGGTTGAGCCTTACGAACAGGTGGAAGCGCTGGCAAAATATTTTGGTCACCCCAGGCCGCAGGGGTGCTTTGTGCCCCAAAGGGATCCAGGTTGGTCAAGCGAGGAAGGGGGGGAAACTGTTTACACTTCAAGATATCCATCTCGCAATAAGGAAGATGAAATCCACGGCGCCGGGCCCGGACCAAATTGGAGCCTAGGAACTGAGGGCACTACCGACAGAGGGGCTATGAGACCTCCTGGACAGTTTTAACGAGATATGGGAAAAAGGGGAGAGTCCACCCGACTGGAAAACAGCAACGATAGTGCCTATTGCAAAACCGGGAAGACCAGCTACTAAGGTGAGCTCGTACCGGCCCATATCACTCACGTCACAAATTGTAAAGACTTTTAAGCGCATGGTCTACTGCAAATACAGCAAAAGCTGGTGAGAGAAAACCGGATTAAAGAAGATCACTTTGGGTTCCTCCCGTATTGAGGAGTTGAGGAAGCTCTCGTTGTAGTCCATCACGAAATAGCAATGGCCCGCGCCCAACACAAGTGGACTTATATGATAGCCCTGGACTTGGAGGGGGCATACAACTCGGTGTGTCAATACGGGCTTCTAGAAAAGATGGCGGCGTTGGGGATAAGCAGCAAGGCTCTCAGATGGATGGAGTCCTTCCTAATTCAAAGGTCGTTCAGGGTGCGATGGAGAGGTGTGTTTTCAGAACGCCACGACTTTGTGCAGGGTAGCGTCTTGGAAAGGTGATGCAACAAAATATTAAATATGCAGTGGTCTACGTTCATTGATGGGAGTGATGCAGCAGTCTGTTTTCTGATGCCTGTGACTCAACTTTGACTGGCTCAATTTTGTTAAACTTGCTTATATCATTCACATGATCATTGCATGCTAAAATGAGGCTAAAATAATCATTTGTTTCAGAAATACTGCAATTGTAACATTATTTAAATGCAAATTATCAGCTAGTCTATGTTCACTGACGGGGGTGACGCAGCAGTCTGTTTTCTGATGCCTGCGACTCAACTTTGACTGGCTCAATTTTGTTAAACTTGCGCGATATCAAGTTGATATTTAGTAAAAAAAAAAAAAAAAGATAAATTATTTGTTATAAATTATGTAAAACATTCATTCAATTATTCAAAGCTACTTTTTTAAACCATTTTATTGGATGGCAAGTTAACTGCAGCCTGGTCTAAATTCAGTGGTGACTACTATATTCTACATTTGTTAATTATATAAGAAGAATGAAACAATTGGTTTGGAAACCACACCACATCACTGCTTGTCTCGACTTTGTGTGACATCACATTGTATTCCAATTAGTCTGGTTTTTAATTAATTAATCATATTTTCTGATAAGAAGTTGAACTTCTCATCACAGAATATGGTGCTATGGCCTAGATGAAGTTCACAACTATTGAAACATTCTTTGAAATGGACTGGAGCAGTTAACAGATGACTACCTTAAACTCATTTTAAGATTTAAGCTGGTTTAGAAAACATGGACTAACCATTTTAAAACTGGTTAATGAAAGAATGAATTGAGAAAGTTACATAAATTTAGTAGGAGAAATATTATTAATGGTTGGGTGTATCAACAGAGTAAGGTAGGTGTAATAGGTGTAACTAAGTATTAAGTGATTAAAATGGCTGGTACTAAGTCCAGATCTAAATTCAATAGGAAACATTTGTGGGATTTGTGTGATAAAGATGTGTATGGAGGATGGAAACAATATGACAGTGTCAAAGGCTTGATAGGTGCAATAATAAATGTTAAAAATTTGTGATGAGTTTCAACTGTTAATCCCTAGCATGTCTAATTATATTATTATTTGGAAGCTGGTGGGAGAAAATTAACATACTAACTGTTATATTTGTAAACTTTACAATAAATGACTTACATTTAACCATTTGCAAAATTATATTTAATTTATTGGATCTGAAACAATAAAAAAAACTAATTTATATATTTAAAAATTAATAGTGATAATTTTTAAAAAAATAGCTATTAAAATATTATAGTCTCAATAATTACAGTGACTGTGTGTAAGATGTTCTTGCAAATGACAATATATTGGAATACTAAGCTAAATATACTGTCAAGTTTGAACATGATATTTAAGAGAGACTCTTCTTGTAAGATGACAAATAGTTCTTAGAATGAAAATGGAGTCAAAGTATTTTTAGGTATTTATTCAAATGAGTTTATTGTATTTGAGAAAATGTTAACATTTTTCACAATGCATGGTGCAAAAAACTTACCCCTACTCTTTGAAAGTTATGAGTTTCACTTTTAATTACACTTCTTAGAAGATGATATCCAATTTTTATGTAAATTTATTTAATTTTAGCTTGAGAGATTTTATTATTTGTAATTAAAACAAAAATAATTAAGTAATAGATGAAATGTTTACGTTCAAAATAATGTAGTGAAAGTAGAACAATTTTTACAGTTTTGTTTCTGCAAATCAAAAATAATAAAAATGAGATAAATTTACAATTTTTGCATGGAATACAGTTAGAAATTTATATACAAATGTGATTCAGATATTTACTATACAGGCAGATACTGTACCATTTCCTAAAACTGAGTCTTAATTTTTTATACTTAAGATGCTATCTACAGATTTACATTTTGAGGAATCTCTTTATTACCTGGATCCTGACAGCCGAGAATGATTCTTGAGTCGCCAACGTGACCAATGTACATCTTTCCCCTTCGGATGAAAGCCACGCTAGCAGTAGTTCCCGACGTGCTGGGTAGACCAGACATCGTCTTGGGCCATTTTCCTAAAAATATAATCAATTTTATTACCATTAACAGTAATAAATATATAAACTTAATAAATTTGACTATCGAGTAATGTCTTAGCCTCTTTCCGCCTAAACTTCCGAGCAGACAGGTATGTCAATAAAGATTTGTTTGGGTTTACAAAGGAGGTCAAGTTCAAAAGTGGAATGGATGAGTTGGCAGAATGCCAAGTTCATTGTTACAGGAAGTGAACATAATATGGACGTGTGTGTTCCACGAGGTCAATGAACTTAAAAGTTTTGATTTCCATTTATTCTCGTTTTTCGGGAGAAATTTTATTTAAAACGTGTTTCCGAGAAACTTTTTTGTGTTAGATGGAAGTGCGTAAATATGTTATTGATAAAAATTTATATTAAGATTTACATTCAAAACTTTTCTAATCATATTCTTATTTTCTTTACCTAAAAAAAATTATACAAATAATTTATGTATGAAAGTCTTATCTTATATCTCTTCTTAAGAAGATAAATAATTATTCTCACAAAGTCAAAACACTTACTATTTTGTATTATTTTTAGTTTTTAATATTTGCTATTATCTTATTTTATTCTCTATTTAGTTTAATTAAGTATATTTGCTTACACACAATCATTATAATAATCATTTTGATGTTTATTAATGCCTAAAATAAACTTCCAAAAGCATGCAGATAAATCTTACATTTCAGACTTAGAAAATATAACTTGGCAATGACTAAACTGAAATGCTATTTGATATTATCAGTATTATAATGAGCTCTTCACTTGAACCTGAATTTGAAATTGATATTAGATATATTTTCTTCCATATTAAAGCTTTACGGTAAGAGAAATGTGAAATCAGATCCAACACTTGTTATATTTATGTTAGTTTGACTGATGATGGAGCCAAGTAATGTGTTCATATAAACATCATCATATATCCACACAGTTACAGTGACAAAAGCAATGCTAATTCATTCCTTTGTCTGCTAATAATTAAAAGATTCATATTAATTCTATATTGAGATAACTTATATTCTTTCACTAGAGTTTACCATAACATTGCATTTTGCACCTTTTCTAATTTATAATAATTTTATCTAAATCAAACATGCTACAATTTAAGTTGTAATATTTCAATTTTTAATTGTTCAAAAATGTCATTTAGCTAAAATGTGAATTAGAAATCTCATAAATATTCTGCAGGAGCATTCAGCAAGTGCAATTCGTGAACGGCGATGTCAAGGTTGTTTGATATACTAAAACAAGGTCGCCTGTTAAGAAGGATTGCAAAATAGTAAAGTGCATTTTCTTGTCGCTAACCAAATACTAGTCATTTGGCTCTTTTTACATCATTGCTTTCAATTTGTAGTTTATTCCTCTAATAACAGTATTACTCATTTGCAGGTCGTTGGCTCTTGGCTCCTCTGTAAAAAGAGCTAAAAAAATAGACAAGTAATTTTCATTAAGAGAACAAAATGAGAAGACGATTAATTGCATAAATGCTACAACAGGAGTAATTCCAAGTAAAACACTGGTTTGTAAGGAGTGTTTTTGTGCGCTGAATTCTAAATCGTGAAATTAAAATGATATAATTTGATAGTGTGATTTTATCTTTGTTACATCAGATTAAATATAATGGCAAAAACTCCACATATAAATTCATGCCTACTACTACTAGCATTAAATCAAAATTACAAAGCATCTTTACTTCTATAAGGAACAATTACACTTGTAATACTACCACCATTAAAACCATTAAAATACAGTAAAATTTCTTTAAAATGTTAGATAATAAAGAAATTTTACTGAATCCAAATTAGAAAGGTTATTAAAAAATGAAAAACTATGCAATGTTTTTGAGCTTAGCTTTTCATGGAAAGTAGAATGCGTTTAAAGTGCATTCAAAGCCAGATTAGTTTGAATTGATGCAGTTTTGTGTTGAATGAATTGCATAGTAAAATGGAGCTACCAGAAAAATTGATTAGAACCAATGTATGAAATCAGATAAGGAAGAATACTTTATATATAACCACTCAGATAATAAAGTTGGAAAATAATGCTAGTAATGACTTAAAAATTTATACGAACAATACAGAATTTTCATTCTTCTTTTATATTAGGAGGAAAACTACTTTTAGTAGTAGTGATGTATGAAGAACAACACATTCCATTAAGATTGGAAGTAATGAAGGAAAACAGGCAATCAAAACGTTAACAGCATGTTCTAATGGTCTTCGCATTAAAATACAAAATTAATGAGCTTTGTGTAACTGCAGGTACAAGAAGGTTAAAGAAATTGTAATTATATTTTAATACAGTTTTTTAAAAAATTAAATGAATATAAAAAAAAAAGAAATGCAATTATTTTAGCTTTCCCCTTTAACACCTGCAATTCTATTATGAGAGAAAGTAACATTCATGATAAGCAGGTGTTCACTTTCTCACTATTTACATGACTGGATTCTGAACCAAACTGTTGAAGTTTTATCTGCTTCTTATCTGTATAATAAACTATTAAGGTATAAATTTTATCGTAAATATTTTTTAAAATATTAATAATTATATTTAAACTGTTATTCTATGACTAACGGAGTCAGTATATAAATTGGCTTTTTTAGTCAATATAAGCATTTTATTGATTTTTACGCTATTATACTGTAAAGGAAACTGAAGTTTTATTACATTTTTTTTTAGAATTTAAGGAATTTTTATGATTTTTTGTGAATTTTATTTGTATTTTAATGTTACTTTTAAACAACAGATTAGTTTAATGATAGAGTAAGATTAATACTTTAAGAATTAAATTTTAAATTGCTATCAGTTCATTACTTTCAAGTTTGCTGGCATCTAATGAATTGATAAGACAATTCACATGCTGACATGTGTTTGTGACCTACAATTTCAAGAGCTTATGTTGAGAGTCTAAAATAGAGAAGGTGCTGAGGAAACAATAAATAGTAGTAATTCAGACTATTAAAATTTGAATTTACAGTAACCATACTAATGGTGCCAAAGTCCATTTTAATGACATAATTGAAGTAATATTTACCTGAATTGCTTGAGTTCAACCTTTCTCTAATTTGTAGTTGGAGGAAAGTTGAACTCAAGCAATTCAAAAACCAAGAAATTTTGAAGGTCATTCAGACAGATCATAAATTGGCAATTGTTCAAAAACATTTGGTTTTAACCCAGGATAAATTTTATAAAAATATATGTGTGTGAGATTCATAATTATACAGCATATAATGTGTTTATCACTTGCATGTGTAAAGTTATTACGTATGTTTCCAGGATATTTAGAAGCAGTTTCTTAACTCTGTAAATTTAATTTCAGTGTATTTTAATGAAATAAAACATTGCTAACATTATTAATATTAAGCTTTTAGCCCACTTAATAATAATTGTAACAATAATTAATTTAATACTATTATTTAGCGTTAATTTATTTAGGGGCTTATCACGCATCGAGACTTATTTATAAATCATTTATATTGCTAATTACAACATAAATAATTATAAGTTCTATATATTTTTTTACCATTTTTAATCCTAATAATTAGTATTAAAATAAATTAGAATTACTAAACAGTTATTAACAAACAACTCTACTAAACCCAATACATTGTAATACCAAAGCCAACTACTGCAATATGCTATCGAGTTAATAATGGCTATAATATTAATAAATTACTAAATAATTTGACACTAGAGAGAGGCATAGCTGCCATCCCTTAATAAATTTAATAATTATATATTATAGCTGTTATTAGTCCGATTGCATACGAAAGTGATTGGCTTTGGTATTTATTAGTTATTAGCAATAAAGTAAGAATTGGATTAACAGGCTAAGGATTTAAGAATTTTAAATTATTTTAGTGATATATTTTAATTGGATATAATTATGTATATAACTTATGTGGCAAAACAACATGAATAGAAAAATCTCTCTCTCTATACATGTTCCCTAAAGACAAGAACAACACCCTAAATCTCAACTCTTTAATTGGCAACCTTTCTCTATATACGTATACACATTCCTTCCATAACTCTTGTACAGTGTGGTGGAGGTAATGGATATGATTATGATTATTTTCTCTTTTGAAAAAGAAGAAATAATCACATAATATAACAATCATGTAAAAGTAGATTGAATAATTTACAAAATATGTCAAGGAAAATAAATTATAAAAAATTGATCATAAATTGACTCCATCGTATATGTATATTCTAAGGAGATTTTTGTTCGCTAAACTTCTCTTAATTTGTCAGAGGATTTGAATGAATTAGGTGTTGATAGGTGTGGGTCTACAGATGAGTTATAAACTATTTTGTTTTTTGAAATATTGAGTTTGTTCCAAAGCTCTGAGATTTTCCTATCATTTTATCAAGCAACTTTCTGCAATATTGAAATTTTACCTCAGTGACAGGTTTCCCAATGAATTATCTGTGTGTGTAGTTTACAAAGGAATGAACAGAATAACACCTAAACACAAATTTCTGGCAAATAAATACACATGTATAGTTCCAGTTTACTTGTGCAGTGGTTGTTTTTTGTTTTACAAAGGAATGTGTAACTTATATAAGGCTCATGGGTTTTCTGTTAGTCTAAAAACAATTTGAGAAATTACTTAAAATTTAATAAAAACAAAATTAAGCTTAGTTCTGAAAATGTTTACAAATCAATTTGGCTCCATCTTCAGATGAAACAAAAATAAATAAATTACAAAGAAACAAGAGTGAACAGTTTTCAATAATTCTACAAATTGTTGAATATTTAATATTTATCATATAATAATTATAACACCTGCTGAGGAATAAGCTTCAAATTAAACTTAAGGATATTCTTATCAATTTATGGTGATGATTATAAACAAAATTGTTTATTGTATAAATTATAAATTAACTCTTATTCACAATCTGATTAATATAAATATAAAATTATGCATAGTTGTATTTAATTAATGAGATGTAGGCAATTATTTTGTCAGATTGCATCAAAAAACAAATTTACCAAT